TCACCTATTAAATTTAAATCGCATTTTAGCCTTAACACGTTGAATCGGCACGTCTGTAATTTACCATGGTTGTCAGATGGCCTAAAAACGGCCAAGTGCGCGGACAAAAAGGCCTACTATGATTTAATACTAACGAGTAAATAAATTTGGAGGTTCCAGTGCAATAATTAATTGTTAATTTTTTTTCGCACTTTTTAAAATTTAATAAGGAAGTACCGACATAATAAATTTTTTTTAGGACAACGCAATAAAAAAAACTAAATAGCGGAATTTGTCAACCCACCAGTGGTTTGTGCAGCCCTCAATGTGTTAATATGTTTTTCAACACGTGCTGGTAGGTACTTAACTCATTTAATAACGCACGTTGAAATGAGAAGAAATCAGCTGACTGAAATGCATTAACTAATGAAGCCTGCAGCGCTGGCACTGTAGGGTCAGTTCGCCATGGGCAGCCGTGCGAGGAGGAGTGCGCTGAGGCGCCTCCCGCCACTGGTCTCAGACCGGCGCCGTCCCGACGGGGCCTTTGAAAGTGCTTTATTAGTGTAAAAACTTAACAGACCACCTGAGGTCTACTGATTGGGTCGTCTCTACATATAAGACCATTGCAAGGTCATAGTATGGTCCAATATCACTATTGTTTCTCAGTGTTTGACTACATAATTTAGGTTAGTTGTATCCATTTGCCACTTTTTTACTTCTCGAGTACTAAATTGCAAGTGCAATGTCACTATCATATCCGCTTGTCACCATTTCTACTATTTCAGTCCAACAAACTAACGCAGCTTTTGATCTTCAACGAACTTTTTACTCATTTATAAATTAATTAAATTCTCAACTCAAGTGAGTTATGTTATATTCAAAGTGCTTTATAAAAAACTTATTAGACAGTTAAAACTTCCAACTGTTTCCCGTTCTGCGCATTAATGCTACAAACATTGAATAGTCAAGTATCGCTTGAATTAAATAATAATTAATTAATATCTTCATTTAAGACTTCACTAGTGACACTTTCTTGTCTCGATAAACCCTATGAAACTTGATGCATACATTTAAATATTAAATTATCGAAGAATCTATAACTGTCCTGGAAATCGAGTATTATTACGGAATGCAAAAATTAAATTTTTATTAGGAATTCCAGCTTGCAATTCCGGGCAAGATGACAATCTGCGGCTAGTCGCCATTGTTTTTTATTAAAGCCGCTGTAAACAAATCGAGACGATGCAAAACCCGAAAAAAATTCTAAACCTTGCTAGAAAAATCGCAAAGGTTCAGGGAATACCAATTAAAAGCTTTGCAAAAGACATGTGAAACCTCGCAAAAAAAAATTATTTCAACAACTGATATAAATTTTTCTGGGGGATATATGCCTGAGAAAAAGCATATTGATATGCATCGGAAAACTGCATACACTCATTAATTGAAATGGGTCTATATGAAAATATCATTAATGATGTTATCCATAATTCCGATTTAAATTCTATTATTAAAATATGACTGAATTCATTTTTAAGTTGGAATTAATTTTGAATACTAGAATAGAATATAGAAGAGAATTTTAATACTGAATAAAATCAGAATCTCTTTAAATTTGTAGTATATTTATTTAGCGTTAAAAGTCATATTTTTAATAAATTTTAAAACACGGTAATGCGGACCGTAGCTATCTTCCCCGCATGTGGATGAGGAAAAATTTACCATGACAAAATTCGGTAAAAAAATCAGTATCAGTTGTACTCTGAGTCGTGGTGGTGATGAGTGATAGGTGTGGGTGTGGGGTGTGGGGTGTGGGTAGCCTTCTATGAGTTAGTAGTCGGCTTGTGAATGAAATGGACGATTGATGTATGTTTTATAAAACCCCGGGCACTTTCACTGTATTTGGGTCCTCTGATACTTTATTTATCCTGAGTGCTCTATTTTCTTGGCCTTCAACATGTGTCCTGGAGCTCTACTTTCCCCAGGTGCATTAACTGTTCTTGGAGCGTCTGTATTAATTCCCATAAATACTTGTGAAAAAATTTATTAATGGCTGCTTTCAAATTCTGAAATTGAAGAAGTTGTTCAAGCAGCAAGCCAGCCTAAATGGATGGAGATTTATGTGCGAAATTTCTTGTACACATGCATGGACCCCGTGAGAAATTGTCAATTATTTCATCTTAAGACTTCATGTGTAAATTATTCTGAATTCGCCAGGCGAGATTTAATCTACATAAAAATAGAATCTAATCAAAATTGATCTTATAATGAAATTAGAATGCCACCATATTCGCTTCTTCCTTTTCTTAATGCCAATGGGCGAATTTCATTGCAATAAATATAATGATAATAGGTTCTAACATGATCTGATACGAAGCTCCTATTCATTCTTCTGGTCCGCATTGTGTTTCTTTTTGTTTGTGCTTCTGGTAAGATTAGAAGAAAATTGATCTGCAACTGCGCAGAATATTCGTGATACCAAGGAAGTTGTTGAGAATTCTCATCTTTAGGGCTGCTTATAATGAAAGGTAGGAGAAATTTGTATCCAAATAACGCATTAAATACCTAATAGCTTGCCAATATTCACCGTACTCACGTCATGGTAATTGTACGGCACCGCCACCCTCAGACTTGTATGCATTCGCGGTCGTTGACATAGTACGTCGTGTATTTATTCGTGTACTAAGTTAACTATAACTATTTCCTCATATTTTATTGACATAATGTGCAATAAAGTGCAGAATGGTGTTTTCAAAATGTAACATCCACGTAGTATCAAATGAGAAACTTAACAGCTTTCGATAGTCTGCTAGTCTTGCAGCTCTGGGATTAGTTCACTAAAGAAAGAATAGTGAAATGCAGATGACAAACTTTAGTTGTACGGCTGTAGTCTCTGGTACGATCTGTCGTACGTACGATGAGGAAAAGGAGTACAATTTTTCAAAAGTTTAAGTCCCGATTCGTAATTATAAATTGATCGAATGCACTTAGCTTCTCTGCAATAAACTTTATTTATGTAAATTTAAGTAATGCCAAAACTTTACTTTCAAAAAACTAATTATTACTGAATATATTTAATATATTCGCCATGCCATCAAAGAAAAGGTGGTTAAATCTTGCTCCAGAGACATAAATTGGCCAATGGCTGAGATTATATCATGGATTTCAGTCATGTCGATTTAAGAAGTCGATATGATTGTTCTGGCTGCCAAATCTGCTTAGTGATCCCTGGTACAAACGGGTATTGTTTTCTTGCACGATACCGCAATTGGTAGTAAGTGACACATAACTGCAACGTTGGTGATGATTAATGAAAAAATGGTTCTAGTATTTTTGGTCAACGTATAGAGTGATCTAAAATGTGCAGCGTTCTCCAGCGTTGCATTTCAAGTTATCATCCGCATAAAATTCACGTGATTCGAGAATTCGCTCAATATGCACCCAATTCGCCCAATTCACTTAAATGAATATTATGTGAGGCTCATTTCTGCAATGGTAATTATGATTAATCAAAGAAAGATTACGAACTTTTGGTCAACGTAGAATAAGGGAAAGTGTGCCGTGTTTTCCAGCGTATCATTTAAATTTGAAATTTCCAGTTATCATCCACATTAAACTCGCGTAACTCGACAATTCACCTTATTCAGCCTAAGTGCTACCAACAACGACAAGATCTTGTGAATCGATGGCTGCTGCCCGCAGACGTCATACGTATTGTAACGTATCAATGGATGATTAATGTAGCGTATTTTCATTCCAAATGGTTACGTTGTTGAGCTTAAGTAGTAATCTTGTGCTTATGAGAGTCCCAAAGATATTCCAGGACGGCGCCCCCGCACAGCTAGAGTCGGAATCTCGAAAGGGATTATGTCTTCAAAAATCTAAATACCATATTAATATTTAATGAAATAGCTGCGAGACTGGATATCCTAAGAAAATTGACAACGACAGTTGTTGTAAGAATATTCCTACACTAAAGTTGGAAGCTATAACTCATAGGCTATTGGTTGCAAACAAGATGAAAAGGTTACGCGTTTGAGTATAATTTGAGATGTTGAGGAGTCTAATTGATTTTTTAATTAATTAATTTACTGTTATCGCAGCATATTTTGATCGCCTAGATTTCCTGATATAAGAGCTTCTGATTTAGATCCAGTTTAGAAAAATAAAGATAGAAATACAAGTTATTTTTCAACGAAACAAATGATTTATTACTTGGAAAATAGCATTAAATCATACAGTAGCATAATATGAATTGATGAATCAATTCATTTTTCGTTATTATTTTAACTTAAATCAATTCATTATTATTATTTTAATCATGCCATGAAGTCATTCAAGAACTATTGTACAATTTACTTAGCTGCCATTGTTCCGTGTATCAAATTTAATGATATATATAGTGTCTCTTTTCGTTCTGAATGAATCTTAGTTATTCAATTATCCTAATTCTCATTCATTATCATTTACATATTTCTATAACGACAGGGCATAATGACTCGTGTTCCTTCCTCCATGGGAGGATAGCCTGTTATTTTCTTTTCCTGTAGTTGATTTGAATGCCTGAAATTATTTCATATTATTATGTTTATTTGTTTTTATGTTTATAGATACACGTTTCATACACGTTTCGTTTAAACATTCACATCTTATTCTCATCAACAGACGTTTTGCAGGGCAGCCGAAGTTGCTAACAGTTGATTTAATGGCTAATTAAACAGTGAATTATCATATTTTGCTTAATTGAATTTGAAGGTGCGATGTTGTAGGCATAATAATTATGATTTTAAGTGTTCAGTGCTGAATGGTACGAAATTATAATGTGAAATCTATTTATTGAAGAGTTAATTAGATGTAAGGTAAAGGTTCTGTAACATGGAAGAGTTAAATTAAATGTGTTTTTCTGCTGAAAATAGATTTTTCAAGTTATAATTGAATAAAACTTAATCGTGTCTAAATAAATAAATAAAACTAAAACTCGTGTCTAAATAAATAAAATCGTGTCTGAATAAAACTTATCGAAGTGTCGAATAAAAACAAGTTGAGGGCTTAAAAACGATGGATTCAGTGAAAACAACTTGGGTTATGAAAATTGATATAATTAAACATCGTTGATTTTGATGAAGTTGATTGAATTTGAACAATTGATCAGTCTTTGTAAAGGAACTTATTGAAACAAAGTTTCAACAAGTTATGCTAGTTGAAAAATTAAAATAGCACTAGTTGGAACAAAGTTTCAACAAGGCAAAGTTTTATTGTGGCGTATATAAACGAGTGAAGTTATCAAAAAGTTGTATGGAATGAGCAAAGTTACAGCAAATTTCTCAAATGTCGTTAAAAAGTGCATGAATTTACGTCGAAATTCTCTGGTTCTCTGAAAAAATGCATAAAGTTGTGAATTAGAAGTGATGAGAGAGTTCTTGAGGAGTTAGGACATAGTGGTGACAGAAACTCAGGTTCACTTAGTTTTTATTTGTGGTAAATACAAGTGATGGAAGGTGACGTAATGAAAGATTCATAATACCTAAAAAATGATTGTCAAGTGCGAAATCAACATGAGCACCACATATTACTTCTCATTACATCACGTCTTGTAACATATCAACATGAGGACCTCATAGACTCAACATAAAATCACGTCACTTGGCTTATTAACATGAGGAAGTCATAGACAACATAACATCAGCTAGGTCAGCATGAAGCTCGTCATGTGCCTGGTAGCTCTGGCCACGGTCCTGCCGCAGAGACCTGCAGACGCGGCCACGCTTGAAGCCCTAAATGGTGAGTAACTAATATTATATAATACGTAATATATAAATATTTATTATATATATGACGTTGTATTGAACTGTTAAACTTACCTTGTATGTGTAGACTTCATCTAGTAAAAATTATCTGTTGAACTATCAGCAGTCGGAAGTATCAGTACCAGCAACCATCAGTATTGTTGTCGGTCGTTTTATCGCTACTGACATTCCAGAGATCGATTTCAGCAAATTTAAATTAATTGATTAGAATTTCAGCTCTTTTATCGCCACTGGCATGCAACCAATATATTATTCTAGGTTTACTTTCGATTTTTTATTGCCACTGGCTCAATTACATTCTAGATGTAATTGAGTCGAACTTGGTAATAAAAGATAGTTTATTTATAGCGCACCACCAATCGCTCTCTGTGTGGTCAACTGATGTATCTCATTTTGGATGTTTGCTTCAATAGAAGCCTTCGTTGAAGATATCTTAGCGGCAAATATGAACTTCAGTTCATCAATTAGACATATGTTGAAAAGTTAACGTGAATGACGGAAATACTTGCGTATTCCGTTGCGTATTTGCATTTCATATCGTGTCAGATATTACATGTATGTGAAATATTTAGTTTCAACGGTGAAATTTTTATGCATTGGAAATTGGATTAAATATTAGAAATTAGATTTTTTTCGCTTTATTTAAAATTGATTCTGCAATTCAAAATCAAACTAGAAAATATGGTTAAAAGGGGCTTCTAATTCTAAATTTTTGTAGCCTAGAAAAGTTTCAATGTAGTATTTTTTTCTAAACCATTCCATTCAACGCGCTGATAAGACAAAGTACCAACGATGTTCAACACATGCACAAACGTATCGCAAAACGTGTAAATCGCAATCGTATTATCAGAAAATCGAGCGTGTATCTTTTCGAGACAAAATGGAAATCTCGACTTGATGTCAAATTTATATAGTAAAGAAATCCATAAATGGACTAGTGCAGTCGTGTTTTTTTTAAAGTTTTAGAGAGATACAGTGAAGAAAACTTTTCAGTCTTCTTGTTCGTAACTTTGTGTCCGTGACTTGCGCCTGGTCTACGTGAGCCTATGCTGAAAATTGAATGAGTTTCAGCTACGACTCAGCGTTAGTTATTCAGCGGCCCAGTACGTAGTGCGTGATTCTGAACTCCAAAACAATGTAAGCCGAGCTCACGTATCGGCTAGCGAAGTTGTGCGTTAGAATGTTGTTGTCATGCGCTATCTATATAGTAGAACGAGCAGTAGTTATAAATATACGAGTCCTACCGAATAAGAATATAATTTAATTTATGTAGGATTTTATTTTTCATCTGCACCAATATACACGGAAAGAAGTTAATTCCTGGGGATTTGATATGCCTACAGAGAAAAGGCATATGACTGGCGGCAATATAGATCGTCGCCGGGTAATTGGAAATTATTATTAAATAAAAAGTTTCCGAACGATATGAAGGAGAGACAGGAAACATTGACCGATACTGAGTCGGTACTGATTTTAAATCATTATAATTTGTCAATAAAATGGAAATAGCCTCACTAGTAACTAATTATGACACTCGTATTAGGCAATGACATCCAAACGCTTTCAGGCTGGCGCTGCTGCTTCAATAATTTTCTAAAGTATTTATTAATCGTTTTATCGCTTAATTGAACTACCGAATTTAGAATGCTCAGATCATGATTATGTTCCCGTTGCCCTAACGTATAATCAATTCGTATTTAATATACCGGTAATCAGTGGCATGCAATGTGTTTTGAGCTTATTTACTGGAGTTCAATGCTAAATATAGCGATATAGTAATATAATATTAGGACGCCAGCATTGCAATTAATTAATATAATATTAGGACGCCAGCATTGCAATATATTATTATAATATTAGGACGCCAGCATTGCAATATATTAATATAATATTAGGAGGCAGGCATTACACAACATTAATATAATATCGAGACGCAGCTGTGGTATATACTGTGTCGTTCGTCAGCGGAAGTTGCCCGAGGTGCAGCACAATGTGCCTTAGCATAGAAATTGCCTATAGACTTCCATAAGCCGCACCCCTCACCGCCCCTCGCCATCCCTCGACATCCCCCACCATCCTCGCCGTTTGTACGTTATATTAAAGAACTGACATCAGCCCGATGATGATACAGATTCCCAAAAAACTCGAACGCCGAGTATGTTTTTCGAGGCGTGGAAGTGTTGGCGACAATTACCGAGGCCGTAATATAAAAAATAGTTATGAATTTGTTACTTCGTCAGCCAATCACTGACGGTTTTTGGAGAAAAATCCACCAATCACAGACGAGAAATCGGCCGCTACGTGCACATAGGCCGCTATGTGTCCTTAAGCGAGTTTTGATAGTGGGGTCTCGGGTTTAATCGCGGGGCGTTTTGCTAGTTTTAGGAACATACTTTAGTTTTGGTCAAGTCATGTTCTGGGACCTGGAAAAGTCCCAGATAGGAGGATTATTTTATTGGTTATTTTTTCCGCTAAAATTTTTTGACTATAATGCACTACGTCAGGCCGTTGACTCAACAGAAGTATAGGCGGGATACGCGAAAAAAAGACTTCGCTCTCTAAATGAATTCAGCAGAAGGATAACCGTATTAAATAAATGTTCAAGTCCGCTTATGATTTTCAATTATATATTGACGTAAAAAATATTCGTGTGCATTTACGTCTCTCTTCTTGCTCTGCATTTTAGGCCTAGCTAATTTTGTTGCAACGCGCGAGTACGTTGTTCTCAACCGAAAGCATGTGCGTTCCACAATTGGAAGAAGTCCTGGTTATTTATGAAAGAAAATAGTCCCGCATTTCAGCGAACGCGCCAAAGGTTATATGATGATTTCAAGTCGCGCCAGCAGAAAAATTAAGGGGTCATCATATCCAAATTGTGAAACACTTTATTGCCCACAGCACGATCAGACAGCGGACGAAGCAATAATACGTCTTTTCATTGGGCCAAACTGGATTAGGATGACCCGCACAAGCGTGCAGTGTATCATTATTTGAACAAAGTCTCACTAATTTTCTGAGTGTGTTATTGCAGCCCCGGTGCTTCAACAATGAATTGCTTGCCTTGCTTGGTTACGCCTGAATGCCTCCATTCAATTTGTGTTCTACGAGATGAAGGAATTCTACTTAGTGTTTTACGGGTTCTTTGGTGTTGTACTTGGTGTTCTCTGTAATGAGGTAACTCCACTTCATGTTTTACGTGTTCTTGGGTGTTCTACTTGGTGTTCTACGTGATGGAGGAATTCCATATTATGTTCCACGTGTTCTTGGGTGTTCTACTTGGTGTTCTACGTGATGGAGGAATTCTAATTTGTATTCTAAGTTTTCTTATGCGTTCTATATACTATAGCTGCGCTATACATACGTACGTCTTTTATTGTCCAGGTTCACGCTGGTGACTATAAGACTGCGCTGCATTCGCTCACGTTCTTTTAATGCTCAGCGTTCGGAGTGGTTGCTGAAGTGATAGTTTGGACTTTGGACCCATTCAACAGCTTGGAGTTGCTAAAGCGTATCTGAGCACCAGCATTTACTTCATTTATTGTATCTCATGGTCACTCATTGTGCTTGTCCACAAATTACGGCAAGGTCATTTTTAGCTGATCTTGTTTTGAATTGCGGGGAAGTTCCATGATTGACTCAGTTGTTCACCTGGCTGGAATACAAAGATATAAAACCATAGCACGCTAGTAGCTTTTGGCTCAAAGTGGCTTGCGATTTAGTTAGGACTGCAATAATGACTTGTTATTGATTCCTCGTTAAAGTGTCTTGGAGAAATCCGTTTGTTTCTCGATGGACCTTACCTCTGTTGCTGCGGTGATAAGGTTTGGAATTGGAAGTTATGTATTTGTGTTTGGTAATTCCAGGTGGATGTGGGCTTCAGATTCATTTCTGTCCCCGCTTTTTTCATGTGGAATCATTTTGAGGATGATACTGGGGCAGAAACTTGACGATGAAGGCTGTCGTCAATAACCAGTGACGCCATTATTATTGAACCCCAAAGGACCCATAAGTCTCGGCTCTAATGAACTGTTGCAAATAAGGTCAGTGTGAATTAACCATACAACAACCGTTCTGGTTTTGGGACGAAGTCCTGATTTCATCCACCTGAATTTAGAAGGAAACGCAGATGCTTCAGCGACCTCCACCTTGGATTGTTTCGAAAAAAATTTTTTGAGTTTGCGGGGTACATTCAGTTGTAAAGTAATTGTCTATATTTGGTAGTGGGTAATCGTCACGTTTTCTAGAGGCAGGTTATCAGTTCTCTAATATATAACCTGTAGCCTTGATTTAACAACTTTTATTGGGTTTGATCTGTTTTTTTTTTTATTTTCACCACCCCGTTGGGGTAGCATATTTATGTTGGAAGCTCTCCTACAACACAACTTGCTGTTCTACATGATGGAGGAAATCCACTTGATTTGTGTCCTACGTGGTTTTGGTCGTTCTATTTGGTGTTCTACCTGATGTTGGGATTACGCCTCAGTCTTTTTCAATTGTGCCTCAGTTATATTCAATTGTGCCTCAGTCACATTCATTTATGCCTTAGACTCATTCAATTATGCCTCAGTCACATTCAATTATGCCTCAGACTCATTCAACTATACCTCAATCACATTCAACTATACATTAGACCCATTCAATGCCTCAGACTCATTCAATTATGCCTCAGTCACATTCAACTATACCTCAGACTCATTCAACTATACCTCAATCACATTCAACTATACATTAGACCCATTCAATTATGCCTCAGACTCATTCAATTATGCCTCAGTCACATTCAACTATACCTCAGTCACATTCAATTATGCCTCATACCCATTCAATTATGCCTCAGACTCATTAAATTATGATCAGTCACATTCAACTATGCCTCAGACCCATTCAATTATGCCTCTCATGTCTAAGAAATCTAAGAAGTCTGATCCTAATTTTGTCATTGTATTTTCGGTAATAACTCCACAGGCATAGTTT